CAGAGATGTGTATAAGAGACAGTATTACAAGAGCAAATAACGAGCTCAGAAAGCGTTCAGACATTTTGCTTAATTATTGGATCATAAAGTATCTATCCGCGCTATTGCCGGCGAAAATGTTTATGCAGGCTTCTCGTTTATTAAGTGACGGCACGATGGGGTTTAGCAATATGCGCGGACCAGAAAAAGTTCATATACTAAATAATTCTTTAAGCAACGTTGTCTTTTGGATACCAATCAGGTATCGTATCTATCTTTTTTTACAATAAATAGCGCTTGATTGTGCATTTTATTAGAAATATATGTATAGATGCATCACAATTCGTTTCCAGAAACTCTATTGCTCTCGGCCTATCTCTGTTAAGTTACGGAGGCAATTTACAAATGTCTTTAATAGCTGATAAATCAATCGTAAAGGATGAGACATCTTTTAAGGAGCTTTTAGAAAATACTGTACGTGAAATAGAGACCGCTTATAATCATGTTGTACTAATGCAATTGAAACCATCACATCTTCCTATAGAAACACCCGCAGAGAATGGTAATTAATGCAAATTGAATTTTAGTTATACTTACATTAATTTAATTCCTATATTTTTTTATACGCACATTGCACTGTGGGCCAGGGATCGAAAGATGGCCAAAATTCAAGATATCGTTGCATTTTTCTTTGTTTGAAATTGATTTTTAAAGGTTTTCGATGTCATTGATAACGAATCTAACACAAAAAGTTCAAAATTAAAAATGACTCATTTGCGCGCCAGATACTCCGCGCACGTCCCGTGATCATCCCCGAACATGTCCGAGCCCTATAAAAATTTCTTTATAAAGTCAAAAAAGATGAATAATGGAATTTGAAGAATTCTTCTCTCGACAGAAAAACACAACTCAAACGATAAAATCAGTACGTACAATCCTGAAATCATAGTCAATCCGAGCAATTGGAAATTAATTGCGTTTACGCGTGGAAATTACAGTATTCGCAAAATATCGTATAATAGACTCAAAGTAGACATTGCAATAAAGATTCTGACACCTTTAATCTTTTATTAGAATCTGAAACTTCGGGGAACTTGGAAACGGCAACTTATACAAAATCGAAAGAATAGAAATGGTGTCACAATACTCAAATTAAGATAATCCCGTATATCATTATTTTTTCAATTCGAATACCTACTAATAATATTGATATTACATGGAAGAACAACTTCACAAATTATAAGCTCAACTTTTTAAAATTATAAGTATGTTACGACTCGAATAACATTTCTATTTTTATAATGCTTCTATAGGAACATATATCCCCACTTGCAAAAAAAATTTTTGCACAGCTGCTTTTTAACTCGAATCTGTTCTAAAATACCGTGATAATGAAACGAATTTGCATGTGGATTTTTGGGCACTTTTTCGAGCTTTCTCGCTCACTGTGCGTTACAATAAAATATTCAGTAAATTTGTATTTACAAAAGAAATCTGTGTATATTTTCAGATATCGGCCTGTTTCGGAAGAAAGAAATATGAGTAACTGAAATATTTTATCTCTCGTAATAATAAGGTATTCTTAATGTGAATGCATTTTGTGTCAAGGGTATGAAATTACTTTAATACATTTAAATTTAATATTAAGTAATAAACGCGTTTTATGGAATCGTTTAATAATTAATAATTTAATCTTTTTAATAAATTTGTTTAAACTGTATTTAATTAATAAAGTTTTTCAAACTATATTTTATATGTGATATATAAAAGTCTGCTTGTTAGTTAAATAATCCGAAATTATGTTTTTATTAATTAATCCAGTAAAACCTGTTTAATACTGTAATCTGTTTAATTTAATTAATTTTACGTTTAATTTACATACATACTTACCTGCATAAAAAACCGGGTCACTAAATTTAAGCTTAAATTTTTAATATTTTTCAATAGCGGTAACTCTGTGAAAAATTATTGTATCAAGATGAACCTAATCTCAAATTAAAACTTGAACATTCCCTTGATAACTAAGCAACTCAAAATTGAGTTTCAGAAATATTTTATAAAATGGCGGACGTTGAAGACTGACTTAGAAAAATAGGAAAACAAAATTTTTCTTTATTGCGCTGCTCAGGGAAGTCGGCTGTTTGGCAAAAATTTAGTTTTCAAGCTCATTGATTTCCCAACAAATCCATTTTTTGATCATTTTTCTACGATTTTATTTAGTTATATTGTTTTAAAAAAAAGTGTTACAAAACGGGCTATTTTTTCATGTCTACTTAATATAAGGAAATTCTTGTGTCTTATATTAGAGACCTTATTTTTAAATGTGTAAAATCAGTAATTTTGATAAAAACTTTCATATACAACAAAGTATAGCAATTTTTGATTACTAACTTTTAAAAATAAAACTTGAATATTTTTCCTACAACTTTAACATAACAATAGAAATTATAAATTAAATAAATTATAAGTCTTTAAAAATAATCTTATATTAGGCACCTTTACCCTAATGTTTAAATATTGGCTATATTCAACAGAGAAAGCAGCTTTGCAACTACAGTTGTGAAATTCTTTAACATGATTGATTCTTAGTTCTCTTGCTCTTAGTTCTTAATGTTTGACGCGAAACGAAGCCTCAATCAACGTGATATAGCTCATGAAAGAGGCTGCATATATTTGCAAAACCAAAAAATTGTTTGACGCTATTTTCAAAATACAAAAGATATCAGCAGTACAAGTGCTTCTATTATCGCTTATGCGTTTTTCCAAGCTTTCAAATTTCCCGACGTTATGGATCTATATATTGAATGCAATGTCTATGTAAAACTAACTGTAAACTTTGTCCAGAGGCAAGTCAAATAAGGCACAAAAATTAAGTCATTACAATATTATATATAACATTCGTTAACATTATCTATATTCGCTTAAATTAATATTTATATGCCGTATTTTAAAATTATTAATTTTTATGACAATTTCAAAAAGAATTTCTTCGTATAAAAGGTTATAAAATATTTTATAACAGAATAATTATAAACATTTGGTAATTATAAATTTCACAAAATAGATTATATTAAAATACTGGACATCTCTTTATATATTCAGTATATAGAATTTTTAAATATTTTGTTTTAGCACAAATCGAGTCAAGAAAACGTCATCAATCAATAACACATGCAACATCTTCGAGTAATTCGACGAATTGGTACTGTTATCGGATTCAATTAGTGTCAGACGGCATTTCAAAGTATGATAGACTTAAGCATAGCATTCATCCAGATTCTGGATAATATAAAGAAAATGAATGTTTATAAGCTGATGGATGATTAAAAGAGATCTGTATAAGCAGCAATGGATTTTACACAATATTTTCTTACCTTTAGACACGCTTCTTATCGCATTATAAGCGCAGTTGTGTTGTATGTTAAATTACAACGAATCTACTAACCAAAGTTCGTGGATTTCTAAAATAAAATAATTTTTTAAAAATATTACTGTAATAGTGTAAATCAAGAAAAAAATTGCGTAAAAAACAACAAATGTATGCTAGAAATCAATGAGAATAATTCAAGCGCTAAAAAGTTACTATTTTATGATTTTGTAATCATTCAATTGCTTGCAAAATGCTGAAGATTGAAATAAAACATATTTAGAATATATCTATTAATAAAAATTGAATAAAAATATAAATTTTGTCAGTCATTGTTTAAAATATTTATATACTCACATTAGAAAACTTTAATTTTATCGCGAAAAGTAGGAAACTTTTTTTATTTGGTACGAGAGCAGGGAAACAGTTACATTTTATATATTATTTTATAAATAACATGAAATGCTAATACTGTAATTCTCGGACAATATTAATGTACTTATTGAGATATATTTGAAATAATATAATATTCATTACAATATTCAACATCAATATATCTTATAAAATATAAATATTTAATATTTAAATGTAATTCATGTAATATTCCTATCTTAAAATTGCCATGTTATCTTGAAGCCTCTTTTCTCTAATGTTTAAAAATTTATATCTTCCAGAAAAATAAAGATATCGACTTCTTTCTGGGGTCATCTCAAAGATGAATTATGTGGCTATTTAAAAAAAAATCGTGATTTTATTTAAAAATGGCCGATTTAATATGGCCGATCAAAACATCATTTTTTGGTTCATTTCAAAATTTATTTTTTTTAAATTGTTAAAATTTATTTAATTAAAATGTAAATTGGTATAAATATTATCGGAAGATGTATGGGGTTTAATACGCAATGCGCGCAAAGCGCGCGCCTGTTATGTACTAGTATATAGTAGTACTTATAAAAAAGACATGGCATATTTTTTATTGTCATTCATTCTATAGCCATTACCGTTGAACCGTTATTGAATCTAAAGTTGCGTGCATATACACAAAAGATTTATAATGTAATGTATACAACCGCAGAAGGCGCTTTCGAATTTAAAAGAAATAATGGTTTTACAAATCTCCTTCTACAATATTGAACTAATGTATAGTGATCAGAATCCAGATCTTGGTGTTTTTTCCATTTGAAGCTGCCGCGACAAGGTCACAAGAAGCAATGCCGCGCCGCTTGTCTAAAATGTCTGCTGTGCTAAAATGCAACACACCGGTTTGGAGTTGCTTGGAGTGGGGAAAACGAGAAACGCCAAAAACCTGATTTTGGTCATCACGTCTGTACTATTA